AGGTGCGGTGTGAAAATGTTGAAATGTTGTTTTCAGTATTTTGGAAACGCATAAGCTGTCAAAACATAGTTTACCCAAACAGGTCAGGTGTGTTGTCAAAACGCTACCGCACCAAATAAGTTACCTCAAACGGTCCCTAAATCTGGAGCAGCTAAATCTGGAAATTGTTTGGTACAGAAAATGTTAAATTTAGTTAAATTATGGGAAATTTTTTGATAATTTTTTTCATAATTTAACTTTGTTGCTTCATGTATAAGATTTTCTACACATCTTAAATTTGCTCATGTGAATGAATTGAAATATATTCTGTTAATCTTGCAAGAATGTTAGTCGGGACAAAACACATCCGATTTGATAAGTTCGAATTTCATGAACTCCAGTCATAAATCTTGGATTATTAAATCTGATGATTCAGTGGATTTGGAGAATCCGGGGCTGATGCTTGCAACGCGGAAGGTCAAGTTACCTTCAGGATTTCGTGTAAGGAGTAGAGAGCAAGGAGAAAGAATAATGAGATCAAGTGAGAATGCATGCAGACTTCAGTACAATCATAATTTTGTATATGATTGTATTGTATTGCAATCCGCATGCATATAAATTTCGCATATGATATATATTTTTTTCAATCTAGTCACTAAGGCGAGGATTTTGGGCGAAACCGAGAGGGAGATGGACATTAGCGAGGATTCTGGTGAGAAGTTTTTACGCAAAATAGGTGATGCAGGGGATGAACGAAACCGAGAGGGAGAGAGACATAAGCGAGGATTTTGGTGTGAAGTCTAAAGGCAAAATAAGGGATGTAGGGGATGAATAGAGTTGTGGTTTTAATGTATACTTATTCATAGTTAATTTTATTAATATAATTGGTTAGTAACTAACAATCAATTAATATTTTATTAACTTAATTACAAATAGATACATTTATTTGTAATTATTTAATAATTAAATTAATAAATAAAAATACATTTTAAACGTAAATTATTTAGAAAAATATTAGAAATACTCCATTAACATAGTTAGTAACTTAAAAATTATTAATTGATTAATATTTATATATTACTTAATACGTAATTAATTTTAAAAAAATTATTAATAATTAATTAGTTTAGTGTATAATTAATTATTAATTTGCATTACTAAAAATACAATTTACATTACCTTTAATTAAATTTAATAACTAATTCTATAATACTAATAATATAATCATTATTTAATTAATTAGTTTAGTGTATAGAAATGCTAGTTTATAACAACTAATTCTATAATACTAATAATATAATCATTATTCAATTATTTTTTTTATTCAAATAAATATAACAACTTTTTAAATCTTAGCATTGCCGAAAAATGTGACTATTTAATTGGAGAAAGATTTATGAAAATAAGCTAAAGAGTTCGAAGGTCGGTGAAAGGAAGGGAGAGAGAAGGACGTAACCTTCCTATGTGGTTTTGATTGATAGCGAAGCAAAAGAAAGAGAAAGATGAGTGTTTCAAAGGTTTTTGTATATCTCCATCATGTTGTTGTCTTCCTAACAAGCTCTAATTTTGATAATATCGCCAAGTTTTGGTAACGAGGGGAAAGGAAAGGTTGGTGATAGTTTCAAGCAAAATCAGGGGGTGGGGAGGTATAGGTAAGAGATCACGTGCATGCATCTTGTGCCGCCTGTAACACCTCAATTAGCAGAAGTAGGGAGACTTACGGAAGAAGTAGAAGGACCACCTACATGTAATATAGGTAGTCGGGATTGGTATGGTGGGAAGAGACGAGGTGTGGGACGGTGATGACGACATCAGAGTGAAAGCCTGTATAAAGGGAATAGCCGTAGTGAGGTTGTGGTAGTCATCAAGGTAGTTGTGCTCGTTTCTATAGCAGTAACTCGTTGCATGACTACACTTTCCTTCTATTATAACTGCAATGGCGTTCCCTATGTGGGTGAGCGATCATCACTGCCCCTTGAATACATCAGTATCTTGAAAAGTAGAATTAATCATTATATATAACAAAAATTCCGATAATATAAGGAATACCATGGAACTATGAAATGTAATCTATAAACTAGCACAACTAAAAGTAGAAGCAATAACAGTAAATTAAGTACGATCAAAATATAAAGTGCAATCTACAAACTATCACTATTAAAAATAGAAATAAAAACAATAAACAAAAGACAAATCTATAAATAAACTATTAAACAATAAAAGAAGTTAAATAATGTACACATCTTGTTCTACATTTTCTGAAGAGTGAATAGAGGATAACTTAGAATTTCTTCATCTAAATTATTAACAGTCATATCATTAAGAGTAATTCTTCATGCATGCCACTAGTATCCTCTAAAGATATATTCTTATGAACGGAATCAAATAAAATGAAAAAAATGTACAAATTCTCATTCTTGATGAGTGGGTTCAATACTATTATGAATATTAATAATCACTTTTTATTTTCTTGTGATGACTACTGACCAATATATTTTATCTTTTGATTTATGAGGGTGTCAAAGATAATATATGTGACCCACTTATCTTGCTTGAATAAAAGAATCAAATTTAGCATATATTATATTCAATTTCACTTTGGTGAAATTATGTGGCTTATTTACCCTTGTTGCATGATTAACAACAGGATCAAATCAATCATTAAAAAAAAATACAGTTATCTCGATAAAGCTAGGATATTCTAATTCGATAAATTCTTCAAGAGTCCCGTAATAATCTATTTCATCAACTAAATTATTATTTGGCCAGGATCTTGTATGAAACATGTAGTCATTCACATAAATTGGCCAAGTTTTCACATTACGCAAAGCACCCCAAGAAAAACCTATCAAGCTCAAATTTGCAAATTCTTTCTTCAATCAAGAATCTATGAAATTCATAAGCAACCATGTTTTAATTAATGGCTTCAATATAGATAATAATAAATGTGTAGGATGAGTTTGGCTTACATGCGCTTTAAACCATTGAGGGATGTCTTTTTCAATCTAGCGGTTTATGATACTTTCTTCATATAAATTTAACGAATCCACCAAAAAAGTTGTTGATACTTTAAAAAATTTGTCAAGCAAGTGAAATTACATTAAAATTATTAAGTTGAACAACTACTAAAAAACAATATGCTTTACCCAAAATAGGGTTGACCTTTATCACAATTAAAAAGAACATAAAGAGTTGCTAGTCAAACCAATTGATCATTGAAATAACGTGATGTGTATCTACCTGATGCTTCACCTAACTGTTGGAAAAGAAAAATCGTAAATGGATGCCGCACACTTATTGGATCATCAGTAGATTCTTGTTTATCAAAATAGTAGTAGCAAAAAAAAGTACTCTTTAGTAATAAATTTGTCTTGCACATTAAGCCTTTTGGTTATACTTTATTCTTCATAATCTATTAAGTATTCAAAAAGTTTTATTATAATAGTTGTTTAATTTAGTTTACTAATAATTTTGAATAAATAATACTCTATCACTTGCATAGTTATCTCTTAAAGGGATACATCCTGTGATATTATATAGGATCATGAAATATAGCCTCGTAAGATAAATGTAAGAGCAGAAGCTCCATCGATTCAAAGACATTAGGTGAAAATAATTTTTCGAGCATGCACAATATTATTAGAATGTTTATTTCTAACTAATATTATATATTAATTTATAAATGAGGTACACATAAATCTCTGAATGATGCTCTGATTTCAGTTAATGAATTAAATATTTCACTCGACAAGAAGCTAAAAGTAGTTGCTATAAAATTTTGTAAGAGAATATGGCAGTCATAACTATTTACTCCAAATATCTTTTCTGCTCTTAGGTCAGTACAACAAACAAAATTTGAAGAAAATCTACTCGAAAATTTTAATGACTACACTCACTCACAAATTGTTCCTCATTGAACCAAACTACGAAAATATTTTGCTTCAGTCTTGTGCATCTCTAACTCCCTTATTCTATAAATTTAAGTATGGAATTCCCATCATCCTTAGTTTCGCCTTTAACATCAAATGTATTTTTGATAATATTATCAAGTAAATGTTTCTCTATGCGCATTACATCAACATTATAGCTAATCAAAATTTTTTTCTAGTATAACAAATCCAAAAAAATAGACCCATTTGTCTAATTATAATTAACACCAAAATTATAGAGACGATGTGAAGCTAGATCGAGATAATCAGTAATTTTTAGAATAACACTAGCAATTAGTAAAATTTTATCTCAAGTTAAACTTGGTGGTTACTCTTATTTGTGAACTCATTTTTGTCTGAACGTATTTTTATTTTGCCTGAAAGTGTAATCGAAATGTGAAAGCATACGAGGACACTAAAATCATTTTTTTGGTCATGTTGAAGAGTAAATACATTTAAGAAATCCATGCAATATGGAGAAGCAGC